TGTATTAATGAACCTCGTTCGAACGCTGTATCTTTATTGGGTAAGGTATACTCTTTTACTCCATTAGGAGGTGAGATATCCTCACCAGCTGGATTCAAGTTAACCACGTCTTCTATTTTTGATTTCTGGTAATCGTGTGCCTTTTGTTATTTCCCCATAACGAGGATTCGACGTGATTTCTAGCGCTCTGTCCAGGTGACCCTTCAGAAGATAATAGGACTCATCCCACATACCCAGAGTTCAAAGGGTTGATTCGTAAGGAATTGTCTCAAACCTCTGGAAAAGTGAACTGGATTACGGTGAATGAAGGTCACAGGAGAGCAAATAAAAACCTCTGCGTGGAACCAAACTTCTAATACCATTTCCAAAAATGGGCTTATTTGTCATTAAGCCATCCCATTCAGCGTCCAAGAACTGACGATATGTGTCGCATTACCAGTGACTGTGAGGCATCGAAATTGGTCGACATTGATGTCATTGATGTGATCGCATGAATATATTAAAAGTTCTCAATTTAGGCGAATCTGCCCAAGATGTTCTTAAGCGGCTTGCGTCGAATGGCAATCTTCCTGCATTACAAAAACTCGTCGCTCGGCATGCTACAGAGACAGCTGCTATAGAGCAGGTAAGTCATCTGAAAATTTTTGATATTGTGAAAAAGGTGATAGTAAGGCGGGTGAGGCTGCTTCTGATTATGATTTTCTCGTATTGTGGCCAGTGATGTTAGTCTCAGATCATTTGCGTAGATTTCAAATATTGATATTTGATTGCTTTCAGTTCTCCGCTCCGGAGGATCCAGCACCGCAAGCCATCTAGACTGCTCTTTGATGGCGCCAGTTTACATGATATCAACTCACGGGTTTTTACTGGTAAGAGCAATTATCTCTTGGTTTAGGTCAGTCAAAAGCACAGTCTGCTAGTACTTGGTTTGCAGAATACATTCGTTCAGTGAGCAATCTCGTTCACAATCGTCGCAGATGCTGTCCATTCTCCTCGCTGGCTTGGGGGGGGGGGGTGAGTGACGTGATGTTATTCCTCGAAGGAACGCCACCCGTAGAAGTTCTTTCTAACGCTGTGGTATGCCAGCGGTCCTATGCTTATTTTCTGTGCGGGGGTCTATTATCCCATAGAAGCGTCCTGTCGTCTCGCTTGTCTTCCTGTGCTTTCATCTTTGTGTTCGTGCATTCGCTGGCCGGCTCTTGGCACTACAACGGTGGATAATGTTGTTGGTTCTGCCGTTCATTTCCAGCCCATGTAGTCATCATCTTAGCGATCATATTTCGGGGAGAGAAAGAGGAGGGGAAAAGGAGGCGGGGGGGGTAGGACAAAGCCACCTCGCCGTTGGAAGTTACCTACATTCAAACCTTTCCTAAAATGGCGTTGCAGAATATATTTGCAACACAGCCTGGCGAGATTCTGTTTCTCTGCAGGCTTGGCAAGGACTCACTCATTTCTGTCACGGTTTCAGGGACAAGGTTGAAGCTTTTTTCAAGTTCAAAAAAAATGCAGTAATTACGTCACCCTGTTGCTGGAGGTGTGCTTAACTTCTGGGTTGAACCTCTCGCAACTTCCTGGAAACTGTAACTCGGATAATGGAAGGCACCAGCCGTCTCAGCGCGACCTGACAATTAGTCAATAGTTTTCAAGCTTAGACAGCATCTCGATTGGACACAAAACAGTTTCACAAGCCTGAGTCCTTAAAACTAACTTGCGACTTTACTTAGTCCCCTTTGTTATGACGTGAAAAACTGGATCATGATAATTGTCCATGTCTCATGAAGGGAGAAAAGCGGCGTTTCCATCACGGTGCATAATCCGGTATGGATGTCCTGCGGGTGAACGTCTCTATGCTTCCGTCCGGGCGCTTGCAGCGCGCGACAGACGAGTTGCCTTGTTCATGCGGTTGAATCTGAAAGTTAAAGAGACTGGAAAGACCTATATCATTCGAAATGGATTTTTTTTTCTTTGCTTGACTTCTCTTCGCTCTTTGCTCTTTTCAATGCGGGCAAGAAAGTGCAACGAGATTGCAGCTGTATTACGCTTCGATGAGAAGAATAATTGAACATGTCCTTGCCTTCTGCGACACTTGATCCAGTCGTCGTCTTGCCTTCTCTTCATTTCGATTCATCATATCATCACATTCAAATTGTATTGATGATACTCGATTTATTTCGATTATTGCCGAGTCGATTTTTGGTAGTATGCCGTAGTTCACTGCGGACGGGCGTGTCAGTGCGGCTGCGTTTGGCGCGGTGCCAAACTCGTTCTCCACCAGTTGTTGAAGCGGGCAAGTGACAATACTGTATCATATCCTTCGTATTACTCGTTTTCTACCACTTTTTGTCGCATGCGCGTTTCAACAAGAAGGCAGAGAACGGGCGCCAAAATACCCTAGATCATTAATTTGCTGAAAACTTGTTCCCAGGGGTAGTCTGACCTTCTGAACATGAATATCACATCCGCTCGGCCCGAAACCTCCCAGCGCCCGCGCTACAGGCGCTGGCGCCAAAATACCCCAAATCACCGGCGCCTGTGGCGCGGGCGCCAGGAAGTTTCGGGCTAAGCGAATGTGATATTCGTATTCAGGAGGTCAAACTACCCAGGAGACAACATTTGAGCCAAATCTGTCCACGGAGAAAAAAGTCGGTCAAACTGGTCCAATTCTGGATTGCTGGAGCAGTAGAGGGTGAATAGTACCCGACTGTCTTGTCCGTCTCCTTAGGGCGAGCCATAACAAAGCACGAATAATCAAGAGTGGTGGTGAATTTGATTTATTTCAGATCTTGCAGTTCATCTCGCCGCGCTCGATGTTTGTATAACGCTGGAGGCAGTCACGAAGCTGATGGTAGTCGCATTGTTAATGATTTCAAAACTTGCATTTAGCGGAATAGCTGGGCAAAGCTAAGGGCTACGACGTCATCCATTATTTTCCTTGCCCACGTTTTATTCCAAATGGTCGTTTTGTTTTCCTATACCGTGCAGTAGCAGCCCAGTATTTTGTGCTCCTCCTAGACGAACTGTTATTGACCGCTTGCTACAATTTGTCGATAAGCACATGCTAAAAACTGTTCTGAGATTTTTTTTGCTGACTCAAGTGTGTACATATGTGGCAGGCACGCAGCTAATCAAATTCCTTCGGATTTTTACCTATGCCTTCAAACTTTGTTATGGTTTGCCACATCCTCACTTACTTCTTGTTTTATCCTTCACAAAGTTTAGAATTTCAGTTAGTCAGAACTTTCAAGAACTCGTGTGATTGTTTTAGTAAATTACTGTTATATACTTGCCTATATTAGTACTGATTTTACTGCTTTCGCGACTGTCACACCATAAGCTTGGCATTGGGGCATTACCACGTGGTCGTATTGCACGCTCAGATTTACTATAGATATTGTGAACAAAACACTGGTCATCCTTTCCTTTTGTACCCGTTGGTTGTTGTGACTTGTCGCATATTGTATATTAAGAGATTGTACATTTCGTTTCATTGTTTGGTGCAAGACGTTCCCTCAGGCGCACAAACATCGTCTCGGAGAAAATGAGAAGCTCAAAGGGCGGGCACGATGGTTGGGGTCACTGTCATTGGTGGAAGGGCAGAGAGGGGCGTAGCCAACGCCTTCTCGCAGTCCTCCAACCAATGACATTGGCAACAACCGACCGCCCCCAACCATTGTGCCCACTGCCTTTAAACCGCGAGGACTGCAGGCCAACAGAGCGAAAAACTGATGGATTTCCTTCCTCCAGATCTGCTCCAGTTCGCCCGATGTCCTGCCTTGCTCGTCTCCCTATCGTGCCTCGCTTTGATAGTGAAGTTGGCGGGTTTTTGTGCAGGAAGCTAGCAACTCCACTGTTGCAGCAAGGCAGGGTAGGAGCGGGCAGGGGGTTTCTGGCAAGTGAGGAGCTAGACCGAGCCCTCCATCCGCTTTTCTCCTTGAAGGTTTGTATTTTGACCTTTGAGCTGCCGTTCTTCTTCGAGATCGTTTTTGGCACATTTCTGGAGCGTCGTGTCGGACATGAAGAAATGAATCCCAATAGGAACATGTACTGATTTGTGATGATGGTCAACGCGACCTTATTCAATGGTTTTATGCTTTTCAATTGCTTTATTCTTCTCTACTCTTAATTTTGCTTTAGCTGTACGTAGTCAGTTGCTCATAGTTGCTTAAATCTTAATGCTCATACATTTTTACATACATATATTTAATTTGCTGCTGGTTACTGAACTTTGATGACGTCACATGGTCGTAATTGGTCGTCGGTTGGTCTTCACCGCATGGCATTGTGCTCGCTCAGCTTTGTAGCTCACATTTATTTCCGATATTGGTGTGTATGTGTGTGCTTGTGTTGCGCATTAGCCGTGCGTTCGTATACAGAACGTTGTCTGTCATCATGTGAAATCCTCCCACACAACATTCTCCGGCAAGAGAAATCCTTATGCATGTTCTATTGAATTCTCAAGCTAGAGAAAAACTCATCTGACGGTGTTCATGCCGGCAATTAATTTCCCTGTGAATAAACCTATTTTTGTTGTGTAATGGTCGATGAAAAGGAGGTTCTCGTACCTATTCCATTTGCTGTTCGTCGTTGCTTTTGTTGTGTTGTCTGCGGTTGCAGACTTTGGCATCGACCGGCCGCGATTTCGTCACTGGCAGTTGTACTATCGATCGGTTGCAACGCACCGAGGCCCCGTTCGACGCTGATCGATCGCACCGTCATCTCTCTTTTCGTTGCTAAAGACAGTACATACTGGTTTTCTCCTTGGTTATTTCTGTTTAGCATCCTATATTTTGGTTGAAGTGGTCCTTTTTAAGGTGCTAACGTGTTTGGGGGGGGGGGGGACGCGGCTCGCGGCGAGTGATGACTCATCGGCTCTTCACTCATCGGCATACTTGAAGCGAATCTAGCAGATAAATTAGAATAAAACAAACAAGATTCACCGGGAACTTGCTGAGAAATCCCACAGAAGCTGAAAACAAATGTCTGAACTTTTTTAGTCAACAATAACAGTCAACAACAAACAGGCAGCAATCTTTTGTAGTTTAGGCAAGAATCTTCCAACCTACAACTGCTTCTTCGCATTTTTCAGCGTTAACTGTTTTAACTTTTGAATATAGCTAGGACGGTGTTATATTCATGTCCTAAACATGAAATTACTTCTATTTTGCCGAGGAGGGAGCAGAAGAGCCGATGAGTCATCAGTCGCCGCGAGCCGCGTGGGCCTTCCCAAATACGCTAGCACCTTTTTTACATGATCGTTTGCATAAAATAAGCTAACATATGAAGTGCCTCCAGCGGCTACTTGTCCAGGAATGCGGTCACCGTGTTTCAAAAACCGTCTTAGGATATAAGGGGACCGACGAGTCTCCCTCCTTCCTTTTTTACTTTCCATTTTCTTCTTCCTCTTCCTTACTTGCCTCTTATCTCTACCTTAGTTCCTGAATTGCTCGGATAGAAGATGCGATTAGGAAATACCTCTGGACCATCGCAGCGAAAGAACACCCAGCCGACAGAAGTCCTGTGACACCTTCTTTAAGAGAAAAATTGAAGCAAACTTCTGCCCTAGCAGATCTATGTAGAAGTTTCCCATCACATGGGAGTTTCAAGAGTGTTTTTTAGATGTCCCTCCAGAGTGTTAGCTTACTTGCGCCTTTGCTTTCTCGGGGATTTTGAAGTGAACGACAGAACTTATTAGGAATGTTCGGAATGACTTTCTCGATACTGGTAGGACATCCTCGAGGTGCAAGGATTGTGTCTTTCCGTAAGTTCGTAGTTATGGGCCATTTCGAAGTCTAC